TTTGCACTCTGCGGCGATAGGCAGATGATCTCATCAGTAGAGACAATGGCTATGGCCACCGACTAGTATAGTCACTGCTCAGGAGGAAAGCAACGGCAAACTACCTTCTGCAAATTTTGCCAAGAACCCATAACAATCATGAAAGAAAACATAACACAGAAGAGATCTGGTGGCGAGACCCCCAGGCCAGGCAGATCAGATAACACTGGGGAAGAGTGTGATACAGGGGTCAGTACTAGTAATCGTGATGACGGAGTTAATCCTGACTGTGTTACCAAGGAAATCCACTGTGTCAGACTAAGAAACAGAATGCGAATAGGAACGTGGAATGTGAGAAGTCTGTATGAAGGAAAGCTTAAAGTAGTATGTGATGAGATTGAAAGATTAAATATTCAGATCTTAGGAATTTGTGAACATCGTTGGAGTGGCAAGGGACATTTTATCAATGAATATGGAAGCTTTTTCGTATATTCTGGTAGAGATGTAAGAGGCCAGAGCGGAGTGGCATTTTGTTTAGATAAAACAACAGCAAAAGCTATTATGGGATATAATCCAGTTAGTGATAGAATCCTAACTATCAGACTTAAAGGCCGTCCAAAAAACATAACTTTCATGCAGGTATATGCACCAACTTCAACAGCAGAGGAGGGCGAAATTGAAGATTTTTATGCCATACTTCAAGACACATTAAATAAAATTAATCAGAATGATATAATAATAATAATGGGAGATTTTAATGCTAAAGTAGGTACAGGCAGAGCTGAAAATGAGAGACACGTTTTAGGAAAATTTGGATTGGGAAACAGGAAAAAATTGATAGAAATGAAAGTAATACATTTTAATACCAGAAGAAGTGGAGATCGAGCATACATCTGCAAAAACCCTGCGAGCAGATTGCGATACAGATCATCAGTTTCTAGAAGCAGATCTGGAAATTAAAACTCAAAAAGCTTACCCGCGGACTAAGGCCATTTCGATTTGATCTCACAAAAAAATACCAGATGCATACAACGTAGAAGGAAGAACGTTTTGAGTCTTGATGTCTGTTACAAGAGGGACACTGATGAACTGGCGGTATCTAGGGATGATAACAGCAGCTAAAGACTTAATACCCCCAGGACTAAGCAACATAAACCCGATGGATCACACCATACACCGTTAGAACTAATAAAACAACGAAGGGAACTGAAAAAGAAAGGAGAAACCAATGACAGTAGGATGAAGTATAAATTTTTAACACGAGAAAGAAGAAAGTACACAAGAAAGGATAAAAATCAGTATGTACAAGATTGCTGTATTAAAATAGAGCAGCATCACAAAAATGGAAGAGATTACGAAATGTTCAAGGAAATGAAGTTATTGACAAGAAATTTTCAACCTCAGTTAAATGTTATTTGTGACAGGTTTGGAAATACTTTAACAGAATCTAGACAAATTCTAGGAAGATGGCAGGAATACTGCAGCGGAATGTATGATATGAATGACAGTGAGGATATGAATGATATACATGAACCAGTACAGTAGAGGCAGAACCTGAACCTTCATTAGATGAAATTTCATGGGCAATAAGGAGCCTGAAAAATGGTAAATCACCTGGATGTGATGAGATACCAGCTGAATTGATTAAAGCGGGAGGAGAAGAAAGCATAAAAATCTATCATGCATTATGTGAAAAGATATGGAAATATGGTATTTGGCCAAAAGACTGGAAGAGAACTATCTTCATTCCAATACCAAAAAAGGGTGACCTGAAATTATGTACAAACTATCGAACTATTGCCCTGATCAGTCATGCAAGTAAAATTCTACTAAAAATTATAATGAGAAGACTGCAAAAGAAAATGGAAGAAGAGATTAATGTAGCTCAGTCTGGATTTAGACAGGGAAGAGGAACAAGAGATCATATATTCAACATGCGTTTAATATAGAGAAGTGTAGAGAATTTAATGTAATCTGTTCTTATGTTTTGTGGATTATTCAAAAGCATTTGACTGTGTACAACATCAGCAGCTTTGGGAAATCATGAGGAATATGGGCTTTCCATCACATATAGTGCAGCTCATTAAATGCTCTATCAAGACCAACAAGCAGCAGTCAGAATAGATTTCGGAGAGACATCAGACTGGTTTTGGCATCAAGCAAGGAGTCCGTCAGGGATGTGTGCTGTCACCGTATTTGTTCAACCTGTACGCCGAAAATATAATGAAAATGTAAGAGATGATATAAACAAGGAACAATATGATGCCCTAAACATCGTGGTCATGAAATACCAGAAATTCGTTATGCTGATGATACAGTACTACTATCAACATCACAAATGTTTTAGAAAACTTATTAACCTCACTCCAAAGAAATAGTGAAAATCATAAACTTATTTCTTAACACGCAAAAACAAAGATAATGCATACAAACAAAACTGCCATGGAGAAGGAAATATAGGTTAATGAGGAAAGATTGGAAGTGGTGAGAAACTTTCGAATATCTTGGTCACTGTTTACCAACAATGGTGACACAATGAAAGAAATTAAACGGCGACTATCAATTGCTCTTCAAAGACTAAAACAACTGAATAAATTATGGAATTGTACAGATAGAATTACAAAGGTCAGATTTTTAATAGCATGCATCTTCCCATTGCAACATACGCCTGTGAGACCTGGACACTTACTAAACAAGCGGAACAGCGCATAAATGCATTTGAATATAAAAGTTACAGACAGGTTCTAAGAATATCTTGGGTAAAGAAAAGAACAAATGCATCCATACTTCAAGAGCTGAATATTGAAGAGGGTTGGCTAGTAAAGACAATAAAACAAAGAAAATTGAAATATTTTGGTCACTTGAAACGTCATGGAGTCTAGAGAGAGAACAATAATGGAGGGGTATATGCCTGGGAAGAGAGGAAGAGAAGGCCAAGGAGAAGATGGGTGCAGGATGTGGCAGATGATCTCCAGATGGGTGTATCAGACGCAGGACACATCTTGCTCATGATAGGAAGTTTTTTCCGGAGGGTTTGTTATGGCAGCGAGGTTCCGCGAGGGACATGGCTACTGAATGAATGAATGAGTGTGCAGTTTTGCAACTAATTGAGAGAATACAATAGAATAAAGAAATCGAGAGCTATGAATAAGTCAATAGATTGAGAAATTAAAATCGATCTATGATCATACGAAAGTGATAGTCTCACATTTCTTAACCTACATTATTCATTATTTTATATTTTTCTTATTGTGGTTTCGCAAATTCTTCAAAAACTAAAGTATGAAAATAACTTAACATTTTGAACACTGGCATAATGAAAGTCAGCGGTGCCTCATTCATTATTCATGTTTGTTCACTCCTTGCATCTGCGACCCTAGTGGACTGACTGACTTTTTACTGCACCAGGACATCACACTGAGAGACACAAAGTGCCACATTTGGATGAGGATCACGTGTGAAGAGGTCCCAGAAACTCTGTTCAACCGTTAGTTTATATTACTGCCCCCGGCAACAACCAGGGTATGGTGTTACCTAGTGAACAGACTGAATTTTTACCCCACCAGGACATCGCACAAGCGATAAACACCCAGTGACACAAAGTACCACCATGCGGATGAGGATCACCTGTGGAGAGGTTTTAGAAACCCCTTTCAGCTGTTAGGTCATATCTATATTCAGGGCCACCGGCAGACGCCAGGGTGGGGCTTCAAATTACGAAAAATTACATCCCACTTGGGGATGACTGATACCTACCTAGTGGACATTATCTATTGTGAGTTAACATTACTGTAAGTGCCGACCCTAGGGGACGTTATTCATTGTTTGTGTAAGTTCACATACAAATATTTTTCATATGTAATATTGTTTGAGATCAGCATTAGGGTTAGATTTAAGGCTAACCCTAAAGATAATCCCAAACACTAACCCTAAAGTGGAGCGATATTAAATATTACAGAACATTATTATGTATTGTTAACAAACAATGGATTGTGTCCCTTATGATCACCTCAAACAAACAATAGAATGCGCCCTATAGGGTTGCCATTGCAAGGAGTGTCCAAGTTTTTTTGGTTATTATTAAACTAATATTGATTAGCAAAGATAGATAGAAAAAAGATTATGCAACCTACTGCAGGTTACCTCATCACTCACGGTAACTGTAGTGGCCTCTGTATATATATAAAAACAAAGAATTACCTTCTCCACACCTTTTGTGTACTGGACATATAGGGCTAGACATACATTTTACAGGCCAATCAGACCAGTCAGTACTCCGTGGGTGACGGTCAACATCACAACTCTTATTGAATATATCTATTTTATAAGTTGAAGGCGGCGTCTGGGATTTGCTGCTGTTGAATTCCGTTATTCAACTATTAAAATTGGCTCTTTGTTTCACAGGGTGTCAATCTTGCAAAGTGCTATCCCAAAGGAATACAAACATTTCATATTTGTCTTGTATGATTGCAGAGCTTCCCCCCCCTTTCCACCCCCACCACACAACCACCCGCTCTGTAATTAATCGCTGATAATGATCTTGATGTTAGTTACGAGTGTAAACTCTTTCCAGGTTTAGATTTGCCAGTTTGTAGTACTGCAGTGAGGTGATATTCACAGCTATTTAACAAACAGTATATATCTTCTGTCGGCTTTGTGGCTAAGTCGATGCGAACGCTTCGCTTCGTAATGCCGGTTGACAGGTTTGATCCCAGCTGTAGGCAATGCGCCTTGCCTTGGTTTCGACAGTGGTATCAAGAAAGCCGACCGTCCAGAAAGCAATAGCAAACTACTGGATGTAAATTGCCTAGAGAAACCACACAACAGCCAGGGGCTGTTAAGGTTGGTTCTGCAACGTCCTGTAAAGGATACGCAACTAACCTAATATATCTTCTGTGCTTCAGGTCATCTGATTTGACACACACTGTTAAGCTGATGCTGGCAACTGTGACCTACTAACAACCTCAGTAGGTTTATTATGACGCTGCACTAGTTTGTCTGCTGAATTCTACATTGCCAGAATGAGTTTTGAAAGCCCAGATGGAGATAGCTATACAGGTAGAGTACTGACTACACACTTCACCAGGAGTGAACTGTAATTAAACACATTTGTTCTCTCAGTATTGTAAGATGTAATGGTGGGGATTCTGTGTCTGACTGTAAAGATCTGTTTACCTAGAGTTCATTGTAATTGTGTCTTCCCTGAGCTAAAGGCTACTTATTATCTGAGGAAAACAACCAGTTACCCCACACCCCACTTCAATATGCTGTTGATCTATTATAGGCAAAGTCCTAACCCTTACATGAGACACTGGGCTTAGATGTCATGACATCAACCACTGGCTTGTGCAGATCTGTTTCCTGTCATGGTCTGAACTGGATTAAAAAAAAAAAATTTAAGAACAAAAACAATGGAATTTTATTACTCTACTATGAGCTTATGGATAGTGGACTGAACACCTCAATTTTTTTACATAAAGAGACAAACATTTGGGGGAACCATTCCACAGTGCATGTTGCAAAGGTGAACAATTTCTTAGTTCTTTAAAATGAAAATAATCATGCCATATTGGCTACCAGTTCTGAATTTCAGGTTTAGAAAAATACCAGCAAAAACAATGTTTTTGACAGCTGTAATTTTGGTGTACACATTCTTATATTTTAGTGGAGTTAGAGTTTGTGTACTGTGCTAAAGTTCTCCTCATGGGATCTCTGAGAGGAGCCTAGGCACATATAGAGATAACCATGTTCACTGAAAAAAAAAAAATAAAAAAAAAAAAAAAAAAGATTCTTGATCAGTACTAAACTCTATGTGCCTTGGGATTGCTCCTGTAGCTATCTACCTGTGTATCATATCTGACATTTTCTTATAAAGAAATTATTTAAAAAATAAATAAAAATAAAATCCTGTCCTCTAACTTATTTAAAAATGTTACGCTTATTAGTCATCATCATAATCTTCATTAGTTTCTGCATTTTTGCTATCAAGTGTTGGGAGGAGGAAAAATGTTTGGTCTGACTCTTTGAATGTAGTGCTGGCTATTGTCATTCTGTGTGCAGGTAGAGTATCTGTAATATCATCAATCCATATTTTCTTGGGTGTCCTCTTGCTCACAGATCCGATCTGTTTAAGTGTACGCCTGTGATGGTAGTTGTGGTGGCTGCATTTTAACAGGATAAGTGAACCATTAATCTGCTTCTCATTGAATTTTATGTAAGGTATTATTCACACAGTCTGTGTAATAGTAGAATTCCTCTCCTGATCTCAGATGGTCTGATTGGCAGCTTTCCTCATGCATCTTATCCCACAAGTGTTTATTTGATCAGTTATGGAATATTTATATTGTGTGTGTGTGTAGTATAACTGAAAAATTTAAAAACATGCAGTAAAACCAAATTCTGAAATCTCAGGTGATGATGAAAGAAAAAGGGACTCAAGTCGCAAACGAGATGGCAAAAAGGAGAAAAAGGAAAAAGGTTATCAAGTATTTGAGGAGGAAGATTCAGAAGAGGAGCAGCTGGTTCTGGCTGAGGAAATAAAGTATGTGTAATGTGATAATCAGTTTTTCTGGTATGCTTAAATATGTTACTGGCCTTGCCAAACTCTAGTTTTTTAGGCATCTTTAATATTTTTTTCTCACACTGTTTGAGGCCCCATCCCCTTTTCTCCTCGGTTTCCTCCTACTTTCTGTCCTCGGTTCTTGTTCTTGATTGTAGCATGCAAATATTGTGTTTCACTGGTCACTTCACATATTTTCTAGCAGTATAAGGTATAAATCAAACTTCTGTTGCTTACCATTGACTTCTTTCTTCCCACCTCTAAATTTTCTGTGTGGGGATGAGTTTATACACAAGCCCTAAGGCTGTCTTACCACATTCTTGTTTATAATAATATAATAATAATTTTCAGAACACTATACCTTTTTTTTAGTGTGCTTAACAGCGACATGATTTGATGTTTGTTGGGACAGTTTGTTCTTTGTCATTGTTGTCTTATTCAACTTCTGTTTGGGAAAACATCGCTACAGTTTTTGACATTTGGGATCATCAGATTGAACCAGTAGAAATTGAAGTTTACCTGTAATCAATCTCCAACACTCTCCATCCAGAAACTTCATTGTGCATTCATGCAAACTTGTTTCAGTCTGTCTCTAAATGTTAGATGCTAATGTTATCTTTCTTGTTTATTTTCATTTATCCATTTAACTTTTAACTAGGACCTAATGCCCTTTTATGGTTAAAGTAACTTATTTATGTGGGCCTGTGGCTTAGAGGTTAGTGAACACATTTCACAGTGTTTGATTTCCTAGGGTTTGCTTTCCTTGATGGGTACTTTGAAAGAAAAAAACCTTTGATGTCCTGTAAGACTGGCTTTATTCCTATCATTCGTCTGATTTCGTGATTTCATATTCTGTCTTTCCTTGAAACTCCTGCAGCTCTTCTATAGCTTACTTTACTCTTTTTAAAGTTAAAGTTGAGAAGATCGACTTCATTGCACTAAGTTTCATCCCATATAGCTCAGTCTCTCCACAGAACGGCTAGCCGCCTACCGACAGCATCGCACAGAGCACAAACTCTGTAGCTCCAGTGATGATCCCATTGTTAATGCTTTTTAAACCAGCAGCACAGGTAACCTCATAGTTATGACCGACATGGAAATGTGAGGTAATAGAAATTAACATGTAAATAATGATAGTAAACTATGACCTGGAGTGACTTGATCCTGTCCTGGTCAGCTGTTTCCTTGAGTAATCTCTGCAGCTATGTTCTTGTTCCTCCTCTGCCTTTTATCCTTCATTAGAGCCCAGGCCTTCAGCCAGTTCATCCTATCTTTTGGTTTCTCATGCAGCTGCCTCCACTCCCACCTTACCCCCATATTATTCACCATGTCTGTAATTCCATTTGTTTTAGGTTGTGCCCTATCTCTCTTTTCGAAGGTTGTGGGTTCGCTTCCTGGCTGAGCCAGACTTTTAAAAATAAAATGCAGTCCCGGGAAGTAAAGGCGTATGGCGTGATGGCGACCACATTACCCTTGTGCCGATTGGTCTGTAAAAATATAGGTCTAGCCCTATATGCCCTTTACGCCTATACACCTAATGTTGTGGAAAAGAGCCTTTACTTTTTTTTTCCAACTATCTCTCATTCTTTCTTTGTCTCTCTTTTTCTCTGTCTCTCTCTCTGTCTCTCTCTCTCTCTCTCTCTCTCTCTATATATATATATATATATATATATATATATATATATATATATATATATATATATATATATCTATATATATATATATATATATATATATATATTTTGTGGGTTCCAGAGACACTACATTCAAGTTATAATTATTAGGTTTTCTCCTAGTGTTTTTCCTGACTTCTTTATTCATTTTGATTTGTTTAGCTCTCACTAAGCTCTGCATTAGTAATTCTGTCATAGCATTCATTTAATACATTCCTTTTATTTTGTGCAGGCAAAAATGTTTGTACTTTGTTTTTAGCTATTTTGATAATTCTCTATGATTTTCATTCATACAACAGTACTGATTTCACAGAATTATTTAGTGTTGCATTACATCATAGGCTTCCATTGATTTGATTTAATAATAAGGATTTAAAATTCTTATGTGGCATGCTAGCTTATGATGGGTGAAGAATTTCTTGTTTGTTGAGATTCATAATGGTACATGTAGGTTTCTTATGTATGCTTGAAGTAGAAATAGTTGATATACACAATTTATTTTGATGCTGTTTTGATCATATTTTTGTTAGAAGCCCAAGTAAAGCAAAGAAGGAAAGACTGAAACCAACTTTCAAATTTCCAGTGCCAGTTAGAAAAGAGAAAGGAAAAGAAAAGGTTGCAGTAAATGTCATGTTTTGTTTAATAGTTTTATTTTATTATAATAGTTTTATATTATTATACATCCTTATACAGTGTTAGACTCCCAAACCTTCTTGAAGCCCTTCCTTCCTTCCTTCCTTCCTTCCTTCCTTCCTTCCTTCCTTCCTTCCTTCCTTCCTTCCTTCCTTCCTTCCTTCCTTCCTTCCTTCCTTCCTTCCTTCCTTCCTTCTATGTGGTCTAATTTAGGCATCTTTAAAGCAGTGGCCTCCATAAAGGACAGAATCCAGTTATTGCAGTCAAACAAGTTTTGAAATTAAATGTTGCTGTTGTAATCTGTAAAGATAAATTTAATCAGGCTTCTCATATCAATTTTAACTTCCAGTAAGGATTAATTTCACCAGAACCTGAGAATTTATTTGAGTGTTTTGTGAAATGATGAGCAAGCTGTAATTCCAAGGTACTTTTGTCACAAAAAAACCTTGAGATTATGCATTGTTTGTTTAGTTGATATTCCCTTCTTGTTCTTTGTTTTTTTTCTCTACTCCTAGGAATGCCTTGCAACATCAGGTAAGAAAGAAATCTCTGGGATAGGGCCTTTTTTCACTTTTTATATAGTACTTTTCAGTGTCTCTGATATTTCTGCGGTCCATATTCTGCGTGGTCGACCTCTGGATCTGTTACTGCGGTTGTATGTATAACATCGCTCTCTGTGGTGCCCTGTCTGGTGCCAATCTTATAACATGGCCAAACCACTTGATCTGTTGTCTACCGATAAAGTTGACTAGTGGTTCTGCGCCGACTCTGCTTCAGCATCGTTTCTAAGTCAATCTTTCCTTGGTCCAAGGATATACCCTGTTATTTAAAAAAAAATAAAGGTGACTAAAATGTCCAGTTGTGAACAAGCAGCGAGGTGGACTCGTTATGTTCAGTTTGTTTTGTTCATGTGTTCATCACCAGCTTCAAAAGTCTTATAAACTGCTTTCAGTGGATGCTGCCAGTGTAAAGTGAAATCCACATTAAAAAAAATAATTGATACTTTACTGCAGGGCTATTCAGCTGGTAACCCATTTGTCAAATCTGGCCCATAGAGGCCTAGTAAGTAGTCCTTCGGTCATTGCCATTTGTATTGTATTAATGATCTTTCTTTGTTAAGGATCAAGCTTTTGCCTGTGAAGATCTCCATTTTCACAATTGTTGTCCCTGATTAAACAGTTGAATAACCCCACTGGTTGCAATTTCCATTTTAAATAAGATACATCTGATCTAGCCATAGTGCCCAACTGAATGTAATAGTAACCAATAAAATATGAAGATCCTAAGACTTATATTTCTCAGTCATAGTCACAATATCATCTCTCGTCCTTTTGTGCAGTAATAAAGGCTCATGTGTTTTGTTTTAAACTAATAAAAGTGAGATTGTGAATATGTGTTCACTTTTGACAAAAGCTGTTATCTTGCTTATTTAGGATGATAAGAAAGACAAAGAGACAAAGCAGGAGGAGAAAGAGAAGAAAAAAGAAGAGAAAAAGAAACATAAAAAAGAGAAAAAGAAAATTAAAATTGGACATCATGATTCTGCTGTAGAAATATCTGAACCAGGTAAGTAGTTGCCTTTTTGTGTGTGATTGCATGAACCTCTGTTCACCTGCAGTGTTGATAAGTTTGAGAAACTGACACAACAGGTTTACATGTGTGTGTGTGTGTGATTGCATGAACCTCTGTTCACCTGCAGTGTTGATAAGTTTGAGAAACTGACACAACAGGTTTACATGTGTGTGTGTGTGTGTGATTGTATGAACCTCTGTTCACCTGCAGTGTTGATAAGTTTGAGAAACTGACACAACAGGTTTACATGTGTGTGTGTGTGATTGCATGAACCTCTGTTCACCTGCAGTGTTGATAAGTTTGAGAAACTGACACAACAGGTTTATGTGTGTGTGAGAAACCTCTGACACCTGCAGTGTTTACGTTTGAGAAACTGACACAACAGGTGTGTGTGATTGCATGAACCTCTGTTCACCTGCAGTGTTGATAAGTTTGAGAAACTGACACAACAGGTTTATGTGTGTGTGTGTGATTGCATGAACCTCTGTTCACCTGCAGTGTTGATACGTTTGAGAAACTGACACAACAGGTTTACATGTGTGTGATTGCATGAACCTCTGTTCACCTGCAGTGTTGATACGTTTGAGAAACTGACACAACAGGTTTATGTGTGTGTGTGTGATTGCATGAACCTCTGTTCACCTGCAGTGTTGATACGTTTGAGAAACTGACACAACAGGTTTACATGTGTGTGTGTGTGTGATTGCATGAACCTCTGTTCACCTGCAGTGTTGATAAATTTGAGAAACTGACACAACAGGTTTACATGTGTGTGATTGCATGAACCTCTGTTCACCTGCAGTGTTGATACGTTTGAGAAACTGACACAACAGGTTTATGTGTGTGTGTGTGTGATTGCATGAACCTCTGTTCACCTGCAGTGTTGATATGTTTGAGAAACTGACACAACAGGTTTACATGTGTGTGTGATTGTATCACTTCTATTGATCTCTAACTATATAATTGATTAGTTTGTGTGTGTGTGCTTGCATGGCAGTGGTGCGTTTAGTCTGTTGTTCTCTACTTATGTTAACTCTGTGCATGTGTTCGTACACGTGCATGCGTGCATATATGAGACAGGGGGAGAGAGTGACAGAGATATGGTATTACCCACGGCCTTCTCTATTTATTTAATTAGAGACGGTGTTGGTATTACCATCTATTCATCTGCAGTGTTTATAAGTTTGAGAAACTGACAACAACAGTTTTGTGTGTGTGTGTGCAAGTGAGTGAACCTCTGTTCAGCTTCAGTGTTTATGAGATTGAGAAGCTGAAACAACAGGTGTGTCTATGTGTTTGAATGTATTAACTAACTTCTATTTACCTGCAGTGCTTATAAGCTTGAGAAACTGACTTAACAGGTGTGTTTGTATGTGTATGTTTGCATGTGCCTGTATGCGTGCATGTGTGTGTGTGTGTGCGCACATGTATGTGAGTATGTGTGGTGGAGTGGGTGGGTGGGGGTGGTAAGGAATGTTCAATTAACTTCTCTCCATCTCTGTCTTGAAAAACTGACACAACAGGTTTATTTATGTGTGTGATTGTATTAATTAACTTATGTTCACCTGCAGTGTTTATAAGTTGAGAGACTGACAACAGGTTTGTGTTTGTGTGAGTGTATTAACCTCTGTTGGTCTCTGACTATATAAGCTTGACTAGTCTGTGTGCTTGCATAGCAGCTATGTGTTTGTTGTTAACCTGAGAAACTGACATACAGTTGGTTTTTGAGTGTGTCGTAGTATTTTCTTCTTTTTATTTTGTTAAGAATGTTTAAAAAATTATTGTTTTTTAATTACAAAAGTTAGAGCTGGCACTTGTCTTGAATGTGTTTTTTTAAAAACCCATAGTTGCATAATGGAGCAGAGGTCTTAGATTAGTTCATGTTAAGTATCCTATTATTTGCCAACTTCTACAGATTCTGCTAGGTCCTAGTCTTATTGTTTTGAGTTTTTTTGGGGGTGATCTGTCTTTACTTCTTTGATCCTTTGGGCTCTGGTGCAAAGACACTGTAGTTCTATGGTTATCAATTTTCTCAGTGTATGTCATATTCATCACCAGCATCTGTTACACATATGATTCACTGGATTTTGGTTAATTTTCTTATTTAGACATGAAGGTTGGCTGGTTTTTGTGGCTAAATTGTTAAATACCATGAGAATGATTTTGTGTGACAGCTTTATGTTTTTCACTGAAGTACTCAAGTACTCGGAAAGTATCAATATAATAGTGGAGTAAAGGAGAGACTTTAGTCTTGAATAGCAAGTTTTAAGTCAATGCAGAGCACTGGTTCTCAGCACAGTTGAAAGAAGTGTCAAAGAAGAAACAAAACAGTTAATGATCAATTACCAGCACCGTTTAAAAAAGTAAAATGGGGATTGTTGCTGCAGCTAAAGAGATTGTGCTTTGTACAGTATTTTTGATAGGAGGGCTAACCATTCTGCAAAGAGAGGCCAGGCCATATGGGATAAAACATGGTGCAATGAACTCAGTCCTCTAGACTTTAAACATCTTTTAGAACATATTTGAAACTGTTACCAGTGTCAGACATGTGCCTCCAGCAGCAACGCTGAGGAAAGCATGACTGAGACTTGAAAATTATATTTTTGTGAACTGCATTTGGTTTTCTCAGGAGATCCAATGAGCAACAGCACTAGAATGAGTCAGGATCAGTATCACTAACAGAATACAAGACAGAAAGTGTAATTTGGTTTTTTGATGTCAGTAAATCCTTCACAACTTAACCTGTTTGCCTGCAACAGTAAAATAGGTGGTATCATTACACAAGGAAGACCTAGGTTCACAAAGGTTGATAATATCAGGGATATTTCACAATAGTAAGGGATTGCAATGGTCAGAGAAATACATCTGAGGATGGGATTGAGGGGGAAGGGGGGATTTAAACATTTATTTGTCAGAATAATCTAATAATTAATTGTAGATAACACCAGAAGATAACCCTATTATATGTGCTTAGACAGTAGGGGGGAAAGAATTTAAGAAGAAATTTCCTACAATCATTAAGTTTAGCTAGAACCATAAGATAACCTTATTTTTCTTTAAAAACATGGGTGAAAAGACAGTGAAAGTTGGTTGTGTATCCTTTACAGGACATTGCATAACCAACCCCAGCATTTTTTGGCTGTTATGGTTTTTCTAGGTAAATTTTACATTTAGTAGTTTGCCATTGTTTCTGAACAGTTGGCTCTCGGTACTGCTGTCAAAAACAATGCAAGACAAATCATCCGCAGCTGGGATCGGAACCTAGAACTCCGGCATTACAAAGCGCGTTCGCAGTACCTAAGTTGTAGACACTGACAATAAGACAGACAAAACAAGTTTGCTTTATAACAAAATAATTTCTCTGTGATTGTTTTCTGCAGATGAGAATGAGAACCCAATCTTTGGTGTGC